TTTTTTGTTATTTTAGTATTTTTTTAAATGTCTCTGCATATAAATTTTGGTTATTTATATTTTTGATCATTTATGTGTGTATATAGTATGTATGTATATACTTGTGTAAATCGTAGAAAAGAGCAATGCGGAAAGTTTATGTTTACATTTTTTTTTCTTAAAAAGTAATAATTTCAGTTTTAAATTTAACTTAATTTTTTGGTATTGCTGGCTTTTCGGTTATTAAATAATATTTTTTCTGATCCTTACTTTCATTTTTTTAATTGAAGCTTGTTTTTAATTCTTGATCTTTTTTACTTACTTTCTTTTTGCATTGTCTGGTTTATTATCGTTTTATATTATTTTACTCTGTCTTACTGCATTTTATTTTAGTTTTTTATCATATTTTTTCTTTTAATTTGTTTAAATTTTTCATTTTATTTATCATTTCATTTTAATAATAAATGAAATATATTTTTATTTAAATTTTTTTTATTCCGGAAGACAAGTCACGTTGCTAGTCGCTTCGTCGCTCACAAAACTTCAACACAATACTGAATTGTATTAAAATATGGCAGTGAGCACCTAGCAAGTGGTCAGACATTCAATCAGCCAACAAGCAAGTCAGTCAGTGGAACAACTTTCTCCTCTAACAAAAACAGCAACATTCACAGCACAGCGTCAACGTATGCGTAATCATAACAAAAAGCCACAAAAGAATAAAAAACGCAGAAAAATTACAAGTGTACAACAAAAACAATTGGAAGGAAGAGAATTAAGAAATCTTCTGGCAGACGGCTGGCAACAAGTGTTGAGATAACCAGAAACAGCTGGGAGGCAAAATAAATATTTGTTAAGTGAACTTACGCAAAACTAAGCTCAAAAGCAAAGAGTGCGATATACTCGTATATGTATATTTGTATGGAGAGCGAGCAAATGGGAATCCCAAGTGTAGACATTGAACTAGCAAGCACTTGAATTATAGAAGTGATATCAAACGGAAGATCTTTTGGGAAAATATAATATAATATTATACAAAAAAAATTTAACCAGAACATATAACATTATTTATAAAAAGTATAAAAAAAACAGTAACTAACATATTCCAGGGATCTACTTTTAAATTGGTGGTCTTATAAGCAAAACGGAAATTAAAAGCATCCCAATTTACAAGGGAAGAGCCTTACTAAAGGAATATGTAAATTTAAAATTCGCTCAAAACTCAATGTCACTCAGTAATTTTTTAAATATTATATATTAATATTCTCTATTGACTGAGAAACAGCTCTTTCTCAATTGCTTTTTGCTCACTTAATTTATAGCGTTTTTATTCACGCTCAAAACCAGTTTGTAAATTTCTGGTTTGCTCCATGTGCTTAAATTATTATAATTTTTTTATTTGCATATACAACTTTTTTGGTTTTCTCTTTCAGCTGATTTTCTACGTCATATGTAGTCAGCACGTTTTCTGTGATTTGGGACTATGCTTTGTTATGAATGTATTATTTTTATTTTATTTTTTAACTATTAATATTTTTAGTTTACAATTTCTTAAAAAATTGTATTGATTAACCTTTTCGGAATTTTTGAATGCATATACGAATGTTTAAACATTTCGAAGCGACGTTCACATTTTTCGCTTGATTTTGAAAAATAATAAATATTTTAGTAGGTGTTCTAGAATATTTCGTTCTTCAATTATGGAAATATATTCTAAGTAAACTCGAAGCCAAGCACAAGCAAAATGCAAAATAGCAATTGAATAAATATTTTTGTATTTTTAAGTGCCGCTGCTTCAACCATTTCCGTATTAAAATTATTTAATCATGGTACAGCTTTTTATTTTATTTATTAAAATTATTTTCGGTCATTAGTTAATCGACAATAAAATCCGTCTTCAATATATAATATTATGTAAGGCATTGGAATACTACCTGCTGCAAACCAACAGTTTCAGTAGATTTACAAATAAATATGCACACAAATTTTCAATTGTAAATCACTCACTAATTATGACATTATCTTGTTGTACATACATATGTAAAAATAAAATTGCTTAATTGTTTGCTGCTTCCAATTGAGACAATTGTCATATGACTGTTGAACATTTCTCATTCTAACACTAATGTTTCCTAAAGCATTACTCCAATGGTTTAATACAGAATAGGTAGAATTCATGAATTTTTCCTAATGTTTGTAAATTCTGTTTGTTTCAATATACTATATGTATTTTAAATCGATTTGTATACGTTAGCCCTTTAGTTTTCATTCTTATTTATAGATGACTATTAAAAAGTATTCACAAAACGACAAGTTTTAAACTATCAAATATCTCCCGCATGGCCCAACTTCTAACTCATACATACATATCTATATACAGAAGTACATATATATGTATGTAATCAAACTTTGTGTGGGTGTATTCTTGTAATAGCCATTGTAAAAAAATGTACCTACAGTAAATGAAGTAAATTTTGTTTAATTTATTTATGAACACTTCAAGTAGGTTAATTCAGTAATATAAATATAAAATAATTTGGCGGCTTATCAATGAAATGGGTAATCACAATCTATCAGGAATGTTCACTTTTGACATTGACTAAAAATCTTCAATATTTTAAAAGTTCACGGCAACAAACACTGATAATCGTAATCTTATCCCTCAATGAGAATATTGAAATTTTAATTTTTTTCAGGGAAATACCAATTAAATCAGTAAATTATAGTCCATTTATGGCTAAGGTAAATAAACAACAAATTATTATAAAACAAAAAAAAAAACTTGGACAAATGAGAGCGAAAATAATGTGGGATCAAATAAATAAAATACATGTGTGAGCGAAAAAGCGAGTACTGTTTTTTTTTATTTGTACTGACATTTACACATCTACGCGCATATATGTATATGCTATATACGTTAAGCAATACCAAACATCTTGAAAAACAAAAACAATCATCTGCAATCTGTCTCACTTATGCCAACTAGCATCATTTCTGTCCATACTGGCATATTTTTCCAGCAACAAAAACAATGATTAGAGCCGCTAATGTAAAACCACAGCAGGTAGAGTAGAACAAAAATTTAAATATTCAAAATATCTTTCTCCATACAACATTTTAAAGGAAAAATTTCAATAATTACGTATTGTGGTTAATAACCAACACATTCCATATATTTCATCTATGTCCATAACGATGGCAATCTGCTTGCTTATTCAACAGCAATATACACGCCAGCATGACAATTTTATGTGCGCAATAACTTTTCCACTATTCATTTTTCATATACACAGGTACAAAAATTTGATTCGGCAAAATATATGAAAAAAATAGCGACATAAACTCAATGTAGGATGCTTTTCAACATCTTTATTGCAAAATTTGTGCATTTTGTTATTTAGTCACTTACATCCTTACGGCGTCTTGAACGTTTCTTTTCAGACATTTTCACCAACTCTTTGTTTCACAAGTCAAATACTATTTGTTTTATGATTTCACTGTTCCAATTGATTTAATTATTTGCAAATGAAAATTTTCTTTCCTATATCTTCACTCAACACTTTTTACACCTTTATCTCCACCGACTTCAAAATCAAAAATGATTTTGCTTTATATTTTCGTATGAGATTTGTAAATGTAAGAGCAGGATCAACTATTAGCTCGATATATGAAGGAAAAGCAAGTGACAAAGAGAAACGCCAGCTTTGCTCAAATTGGAAAAAATATACATATGCTTTGCTATCTTGTCTCGTCTAAATTGGTGGCTCATCAGAAAAGTCTCAATTACAAAATTTGTTAAATAATTGAAAAATTCAAAAAAAACTATCATATTTTTTATGATAAACTAAAAATACGCAAAATTTTTAAAACAACTTAATTCAAAATTAGTTAAAATGTAACAAAATACTTTATTATAATCATTTCATACTTATATGCCTCAAAGGCTACTCAGTGGCAACTTATTGCCAATCAGCTGTTTTTGTTTTGATTGCACGATAGATTCACTTAAATAACAACAAATGCTTAGGTGATAAACTTTTATAAAACTCATTTGAAAAAATATTATATTATAGCATATTATCCACAAAAATCAAAATATACCGCCCATTATAAACGCTGGTACCTGTAAGTAAGATACGGCAGTATTAGTGGTAAAAATAACAGCTTAGTTTCACAGGTTATTTAACGTAGTTTACTTGTTAAAATGTTGCTGAGAGGTAGACAAATTACGCTACTGTCTAGTCTATGTTGGCGAACCGCTACCGCGCAATTTAGAGGAATGCATATTAAACGCGCGGAACTATACAAGGTAACTGGAGATTTTACATCACACAGTTTTCATGCATAAAAAAAGCTTCTTTTGTACACAGAAATGCTTCCGTATATTGGGCGTTAATGAAGCAGCCGATCAGAACACTGTTCGTAATGCTTATATCGATCTGGTAAAGCGTGTACATCCCGACTCTGGCCTACCAGAAGCCAGTGCTGAACGTTTTCAAGAAGTAGATGAAGCATTCAAAATATTGCAAGAAAAATTTGCCAAAAATCGACGTAATATACTTGAAGATGAGGAAGAGGAAGTATTTGATATAAAACATACAGCACCACAACATCGTCAATATCTAAGTTATGACGGCATTGGCGTTGGTAATCCTTTTCAGAGGCAAAAACAATACCAGCAGGTTAAAGCAATGAAAGCGCAAGAACGCGTGCTCAGCCATCGTATTGAAAAATCACAAGCTGGTGAACGCACAATTATGAAAAAAGGCACGTTTTATAAGAATCATGCCATCAAAACAAAGTACGGGTTTGATCGTATATGTGAAGATCTCATACAAGAGGCTATGGCAAAGGGTGACTTTGACAATTTGAAGTGTGCTGGCAAACCTTTGAGTAGCGCGCAAACGCAAAATCCATATTTAGATTTTACAACGCACAAGTTGAATAAAATTCTGCTCGATAACGGTTTCACACCTGAATGGATCACACTACAGCGCGATATACGCGAAGCAGTGGAAAAACTGAAGCAGGAGCTGCGTGCGGAACGTGCATACTTTGGTGACTATCCGTTTGATGAAGAAGAGAATCGCGCTTGGCAAGCAGTTTTGCAGCGTTATAGCGATGATATCAAAGATATTAACAAGAATATAGATAAATATAATCTTATTGTGCCTATACTGCAAAATCAACTTTTCCGGTTAAATATGGCAAAATTATCTGAGCAAGTGATTAGTGATCCAGAAGCGCTCAAACACTTTAAAAAACAAAGAGAAACGCCGAATGAAACTGCGAGTACGGGAAATGCGACTAAAAACGACATATTTTCGTTTTTTGGTTCACTTTTTTGAACATGTTAAAGAAAAATGTTTTATTTTTGTTGAAGGCACACATTTTTTGTGTATGTATGTGATTTTAAGCCGCTGTAGGCTGGCGTGATATGTTAATATTGTTCGTACATTATAAATGAATTATATAGATAGTATTTTCTTAATTAAAATTTTATTTTAACCTATTTTTACAAGTTTCATAAACTTTATTATACAAACTAAATTTTTTTTTACTATAAATGCTATCATTATTTTTCACTGTGTTGGTATACATATGTATGTATATGTATAAAGATTTCATGAATTCCATTGTTTTAAGAGCATGGCGCAGGTAGACGTTGGCAAAACTTGTTTTTGAAGTAGAATTGGGCTATAAGAGCTATCCCTATTACCTCCAAAAAATTGTTACTGTAAAGTAAAAATTAAAATCAGGAAAAAATCACTTTGCCATCTGCACTCAGTTTGACTGATTCAGTGGCCAACAGTCGTAACGCTTTTGGGAAAGCAAAGTGTTCGGCCACATGTATGCGATTTGTTAAACTTTCTTCAGTATCATTGGGCAGTATGGGCACGCTAGCTTGTACAATAATGCCACCGGTATCCACACCCTAAAAAGTGCGAAATGAAAACCATGAACATGAATTTAAATCAAGTTATTTGCATATACCGCTTACCTCATCCACAAAGTGCACTGTACAGCCAGACTCCTTATCCCCAGCATCAAGCGCCTTCTGTTGTACTTTCAAGCCGGGATGTTTAGGCAACAATGATGGATGTATATTCACCAAACGGCCCTTCCACTGACGTACAAACTGCTCACTCAATACACGCATAAATCCAGCCAAACACACCAAATCCACATTGTGCTCCAACAACTTTTTAGTCATCTCCGCGTCAAAGTCCTCGCGTTTTGCGTATTCTGTATGTGAGATCACCACTGAGGCTATGCCAGCTTTTTCCGCGCGCTCAAGACCTAACACACCAGCTTTATTCGATATTACCAAGACGATATCGGCAAGCACACCTTGTGAAGTGTCGCGACAAGCGTCGATGAGCGCTTGCAGATTACTGCCTGTACCGGAGATCAACACCGCAACCCGCTTACGTGGTTTATTTAGCAATTTCTGTGCGCGCTGCAAGCAGCCTTGGAAATTTTCGACTACAACCTGTGGCGCTTCAGAATTGGTGCGCTTCACCACCACGCCGACGCGCGTTGCGCGCTCACGATACTGTAATTCAGCTAAAACGGACTGTTCATATTTCGGTGAAACTACTAAAATTACGCCGAGTCCACAGTTGTAGGTGCGTTGCATTTCTTTTGGTGCTACATTACCGGTCGCGGCAAGCCAACCAAAGACGGGTGGTATATTCCATTGTTTCGCATCCAATTGCACAGCTAATGTTTTGGGAAGTACACGTGGTATATTCTCGGTTAGACCACCGCCGGTAATATGGGCCAAGGCTTTGATATGACYCTGTTGCACGAGTGGTAGCAGTGCCTTGACGTAAATGCGTGTGGGCGTAAGGAATTCCTCACCGAACGTGTTATGACTGAAAGGAGCTTTGTCTTCGAACGTAACGCCAGCTTGTTTCATTATGACATGCACAAGACTGAAGCCGTTGCTATGCACACCGGAGGACGGCAGGCCGATCAGCACATCGCCCACACGTATTTCATCAGTGCGTGGCAGCAAACGACTGTATTCAGCAATGCCAAGTGAAAAACCGGCAAGATCGTACACATCGGATGCATAAAGCAGTGGCACCTCAGCAATGTGTGTTTCTAAAAAATAAAAAATAAACTATAATTTTCGCTGGATATGTGCGCACTACTTGTACTCACCAACTAAACTGCTGCCTGCTTGCGCCGCGCCTTCAATCACCCCACCAGTTATCGTAGTTGCCGTTTCTTCCACCAAATCACCGCACGCATAATAGCTCGAGAAGGTCAGCGGTTCAGCACCGTTGCACAGTATGTCATTCACGCACATCGCCACCAAGTCAATGCCAACCGTACCATTGCGTTCGGTTTGTTGTGCGATCTTAATTTTAGTGCCCACACCATCAGTGCCCAGTACCAATACCGGGTCCTTGTATTTCTTTGGTACGCCCATCAAACGTCGGCCCAGTTTTGTGGTTAAAGTTTCATTGCGCTGCTGCGTCAAAGCGCCATCGCATAGCTCCAAAGCCAAGTCACGTTCATGCGGTTCATCCAAGGTACGCATATTCCTCTCGGATAAACCGCCAAAACGTTCGATGGATTTTTCCAAACCCTCTACAAAGTTACGCACCTCAATTTGATGTTGTTGGTGGCATGAGTGCATTTTACGTTTCAACACCCCGAACACCTTAGCGCCGGAGCCAAGCAATTGCTTCCAAACCGTGCACCGCTTTGGCACAATCATAACAAGCCCAATACCACAGTTCAGATTGTCCAGAAGTGTTTGTGGAGCCAAACGTAACCTGCCCACTAACCAGCCATAAATTGCTGGAATTTTGAGATCACCAAAGTCGAGCGATATCTCATGGTCTGGCGGTATAATGCGTTGCACATCTGGCAGCAAACCGGTGGTTATATGCGAAATAGCCTTGACATCGCATTCGCGTAAGAGCGCGAGCACTTCTTTCACATAGATTCGGGAGGGTTCGCACAGCTGTTGACCTGTGTAAAAACCAGCACTTACTAAACTTCAAACTTTTGAGAGAGTTCAAATATTTTACCTAACGTTTTAGTCTCATCACCAAATTCGCACTTAACGGTCAAGTCAATATCAGCCATCTCAAGTTGTTTTAACAACGCGTGGAAGCCCGCACAATGCAGCCCGCTCGCTGGTAACGATATTAGTAAGTCTCCCTCCTCGTATTGCTGGAATTTCGGCAACTCTTTGCCTGCCTCAAGTATGCCCACGCTATAGCCGGCGATGTCATATTTACCGACGTCGTAGACCGTGGGCATTTCAGCGGTTTCACCACCCAAGAGCGCACAACCAGCTTCACGACAGCCGTCGGAAATACCTTTTACAATTTGTGCAGCAATCGGCACTTGTAGCTTGCCACAAGCTATGTAGTCCAAGAAGGCAACTGGTTCAGCACCAGACTCGAGCACATCATTGACGCACGTAGCGAGCAGATCGTAACCGATACTTTCGTACATCTCATGTTCGAGTGCGAGTTTTATCTTGGTGCCCACACCATTGATGGCTTCACAGATCACAGGATTTTCGTAATTTAGCTGTGTTGGGAAATATATTGAAGATTTATCGTACTTTTCAAAAGCGCCGAAAATGTTTTGCTCACCTCATTCAAGCGGAATAAGCCACCGAATCCACCCAAACCGCCTACAACACCGGGTCTTTGTGTACCTCGAGACAACGGTTTTATGCGTTGCACCAGATCATCGCCCGCATCTATGTCAACACCGCTATCCTTGTAGGAGAGCGCTTTGAATGTCGGAACGAACGTCTTTAGCCTGCCAAGTAATTGAAACACCATTAGTTCGATTTTTTTTTGTGTATGAGATTTGTACAAAAGATTTATTCAATTTGACACTTCATGTATGTATGTAAGGAATGTGTTAAGCCAAATAATTACATTTTGAATGCTTTCTCCGCAATGTCAGTTCGAAATTGTGCGCCAGCACCCGAAAATGTGATTCCCTGACATATTTTGGTTGCATCAGCCGCTGCTTGGCGCAAATCTTCACGCAGCGCTACGGCGATCAGCACACGGCCACCATTGGTTAGATACTGGCCAGCCTTGTTGACCGCTACGCCGCTATGAAAGATCAACTCATCAGCCGTATTTGGTGGCATACCTGTTTGGATAACAAGATCAAAAGAAAAGAGAGAAAATATTATATAATTTAATACTTCGAAATAACTAATTGGATTATGTACCCTCGATTATGCAGCCCTTTGTCGAGGTCTCTGGATAGCCAGCACTGGCCATGACCACACCAACGGCACTGACATCCTCACGCCACTGTAGTTGTATTTCCTTGAGACGATTCTCACAGCAAGCGCTCATTACGGCATACAAATCAGTCTCGAGTAATGGCAATATGACTTGCGTCTCCGGATCACCAAAGCGACAATTGAACTCCAACACCTTAGGACCATCAACGGTCAACATTAGACCCGCATAGAGTACACCACAATAGTGTATACCTTCTTGGCGTAAAGCGTCTACGGCTTTCTGCAGTATAGCTCTATTAATGCGTTCCAAATCGGCGGGTGGTATTAACGGACATGGGCAATATGCGCCCATGCCACCGGTATTCGGTCCTTCATCACCTTCGCGCAACCGCTTGTGATCCTGCGCGGGCAACATAGCCTGAGCATGTTGTGTATCGACAAATGCGAGCACGGATACTTCCTCGCCGACGAGTAATTCTTCTATGACAACGGTTTCGCCCGCATTACCATATTTGCGTTGTCCAAGTATCTCATCGACAGCTTGACAAGCCTCGATAGTATCTGCTGCAACCACGACACCTTTGCCGGCGGCCAAACCGGCAGCTTTCACGACGAGCGCTTTGTAAGGTGCGCTGAAATTGAACAAGAAAAATAGGCGATATTTGAATAAAAAAACTCAAATGTTAAACAACGGGGGCTCTGGAATTAATACTGAGCTGTGCCAAATCGACGGGACAACTACTAGCTGCATGAGATATTACACATAAAATCTTCGGTAACCCGAAACGTGACCAACATTGGTAAACTCATGCATTGTCTGTGCGTTGATATGAACAGGGGCATGGTAAGAAAGATCAAAAAGCGGTGAAACGATCTACCGGAGTGTGTAAGGCGGAAAATCAGAAATACATGAAATTCCCACTGGCATCCGAAAGAATGGACTGCAAGAGCATTCTTACTCACTGGTAACTGTTTAGTGGCGGCACACGCCTGTAGAATGGTTTGACAGATAGAGAAGACCACAGAAAGGCACCAGGGAAGGCAATGTAGCATCTCCTGTGTACTTAGCAAAGCCTTCAAATATGTGGTCCCACCATATGAAATATTGGAAGAGGTATTGTTAATGAGGCCACATAATCTATTGAAATTCACGTCAAGCCTTGACATCCTGAAGGATAACTACTTCTAATGAACTACATCACGGCACTCCATAAATCTAATTAACATAACCTAAATTAGCTTAAATGAAAAGGTACGAAGTACATATATGGAAGTAATCTGAGATTTTCTATATTCGAGAATACTCTTACTAAAAATAATATGTACCAGCTTGGTTAAGATAGATCCGTAGATCCCAATATATATATATCTGTTTTCCCGGTCATTAAAGTGAAGATTTTAATAAACACTATTATCTAGACGTATGTACCTGTCTCTTATACACATCTAGATGTGTATAAGAGACAGGGTTAAGATAGATCCGTAGATCCCAATATATATATATCTGTTTTCCCGGTCATTAAAGTGAAGATTTTAATAAACACTATTATCTAGACGTATGTACAATGAGAATGGAGTTCAATAGCCTGAAAAAACCACCACAATCCTAATTCTAAATCGTTCCTTTACTCACCTATTTATAAACTCCTTGGCCTGATTCACATCGGTAAATGATGCATATCGCGCAGTCGGTATACTATGCCTTAGCATAAAGTCCTTGGCCCACTTTTTGTCCGACTCAATTTGGGCGCCCTTCTTATTGGGACCAAAACAACGTACACCAGCCTTGTTGAGAGCATCGCCCAACCCATTGGCTAACGGATCTTCAGGACCCACAATGACCAAATCTATTGATTGTTTCTTGCACCAGCTGGCGATGCCCTGAAAAGAAAATGAAAGTTTAACAAAAATTCAAACATATTTATACATATAATATAAAGAATTAATGGGTTTTAGAATAGGGACGCTACAGAAGTATACCGATAGCGACAGCAAACGACACCATATTTTTTCATTTCTTTTGCCATTTCATCATGGAAAGACATACGATCCAACAACGGGTCGAAATTATTAAAACTTACTATCGAAATTTGGAGTCAGTGGCCTTAACTTTATCCAATTTATGGTCGATCTGTCAGAGTGTCTAATGGAAAATTGGAATCCACAGGCACAGTACAAAATATGCCCGTGCTAGTGAGACTAAGAAGTGCCCGCAATGTCGACAATATTGCTGCTACTAGCTCATGAATTGAGGAAGACCCAAATCAATCTCTCACACGTCGTTCTCAATTGTTGGGCATCTTTGTGACGTCATTGTGGCAAATTCTGCCAAAACATCTTGGACTACATCCTTACGCTAGATCATATTGACCAATTGATTCACGTCGTTTGTTCGTGAATTTGGCTGAGCAACAACTTGAAAGTGATCAGGATTTTTATCGAAAAATTCTCTTCAGCGATGAAATAAAATATGCGTTATGGTCAGGCAGCAATCCACACATACTGCATGGATCACCATTGCATCCCGAAACAAATTTCGGTTTGGTGCGGTTTATGGGCTGCCGGCGTCATTGGATCGTACTCTTCCGTATCGATCAAGACCGCCACGTTACTGTAAATATGCTACCGCTGAATGATAACCGAATATTTTTGACCCGAATTAGATGATATGGACTTGAATGTCACAATGTCACAATCGGTTTATTGAAAACCAAGTTTGGTGAACGTGTTACTCCCGAAATGGCCCAGTCGACTGACCACCTATTTCGTGTGATTTGACGTCGTTAGACTATTTTTTGTGCGGTATGTCAAGTCTATGGTTTATGCCAACGACTCAGCGACGGTTGATGAACTTTGTACGAATATGGAACGTGAAATTGCAGCGGTATCGGCCGATTTATGCTGATGAAAGCTGTCGAAAATTGGGTTCAGTGTCTGGACTCTGCAAAAGAAATCGAGTTCCTGGCTTCGAATGTACTTTCACACGAGGAAGAATTTCATTGATATCCCAAACTGTATTTGCATTTTTGTAGCGCTCCTATTGAAAAACCCGTTATATGGTTCTATATGAGAGCAATTATAAAGTAACGGTAAATGACGTGAGCGTTCGTGACTGTGTGAACTGTCTCACTTTGATTATAATTGCTCGCCAAGGTCAAGTGCGTGGCGTTCCCAGCACATAAATTTGTTAGAGGGGAAAAATATTTTATGGCAAAGGTCAATCAACTACTTCCTACAAATTAACGGTGTACAGTATATATCAACGCTGAACTCACTGAATAATAATAATAAATAATACAAGAAATGCTAATTTTAGTTTGTAGTTTTGACTAATGTTGGCGAGCACTTTTTCTGACACCTCCAACCAGAATTCAAATCTATGCAGCGAAAATTTGTGAATTTCGAAAAGCCGGAAAAATTATTAGTTTTTGAACATAAATATTGTAATATTGGATTTTATTATAGTTTTAAAGTATTATTACTTTTTAATGTTATTCTATGGATACAAATAAGTATATAAATTATGCAACTAGTTTCTGCAAAATGACTCAAAAGAAAAGAATGTTTAGGTGCGAAAATAGTTAACTACACAAATGACCAAATATAAATTAAAATGCTGTGCCATTTCAACTATTTAAATTTGTCGGCTGATTTATTTCAGCAATGGCTTATTAACCCACGCCTAATAAAATACTACTTTATCTTTATTTAGAACTAGTTTAATTTAATCAACGAGAGAGAATTTGTGAGAAATAGAATGCAAGATTAAAAAAAAAGGAAAAAATACAACTGCCAAATAAATACTATATTTTAAAGCTGAGATTAAAAATTTCCATTAAAAAGAAAAATTATGCAGCAATCAGAGCCGTATTTTAGCAATAACACGACGGATATACTCTTTCTATCTGCGTAGACTGTAGCTACCCATAACTCAACAAAAAACAAGCCAGTGTTATTAAAACACATGAACTTGGAGCTCACGAAACTGATGTGATAAAAATTCGTTGGCTGTAAGACATATAATGTCGCCTTGTTGAAACCAAAGGTCATCCACATCAACTTTCTCCAATTGGTACACTTAGGCCAACGATTTTTCCAGTCCTCGAAACACTGCATAACCATTTTTTTGGATGGCCTTCAGCTCTTTCTGTGAATTTTGTTTTATCTCTTCGATCGACTGAAAACGGGTTCCATTCCAGTTATAATGCTCTTCATGAAAGCGTGATCGGAATTCGCACGACCAAAGAGACCTGTTTATGGTACACTTTTTGAAAGAAAAATACCGCTTAATCGGAACGAGTCCGGCAAGAACGCGTTTCTTACCAGAAATAACCGCCAAAATCATTTGAACGGACTCACGAGAGATGTCGAGCTCTCTTGCCATCTCTCTAACACTTGTATGAAGATTTTTTTTGTATGATGTTTTGAAAATTCGAATTGTAATAACCCTTTAATCCAAATACACTTGTTAAAGCCTCGGCCTGCAGTGCTTTCAGCGAATTTGTGTTTTTTTTTTTTTTGTTTGTTCGGCCTATTCACTTAGGAGAAGGCGATAGGATAGGGGCGCGGTTACAAAGCTTGTTCTATTCAACCGTCAGCTTCACTGACCCGTCGGCGCACCCTGTCGATAATGAGAGAGGAGCTGGCTCCCGATTATGGTCGGCGTCACCCCAGTAGCCATCGTTTTAGATTAGTTATGATAGCTCACAACTTGAGTCATAAAAATCTACTACGTGGCTGGAGTTCGGCCTCGTCGAAGTAGGGCTGATAACCCTCTCGACGGTAGTTAGTTTTCAAAGCTTACATATAGCTGTAACGCCAAATTCTGATGATTCGCTCAATGGTTCGACAAATTCGACGTCTTATTCATTCTTCCGAGTCTCTTTTTGTCATTTCGATTGACGATCATTTTTCTTCTTTACTGAGTTTGTAACAGCGCGCCAGTCGTTCGCTGCTTGTGCCAATGGGAGATTCCAAGTGTAGCCAGATCATTCTCTACCTGGTGTTTTGAACGGAGTGGAGATCGTCCCCTTCCTCAGCTTCCCTCGGCGGGTACTACATCGAATACTGTCATTCTCCATTCGGATGACATGACTTAGCCAGCGTAACCGCTGTCTCGTTTCATCAACTGCGGTATTCCCCGTCTTCCGCAGAACCTTTCTCTTGAAAACTCATAACGCTGATAGAAACTCATTAGATGTTGTCATCGTCCCTGCCTCTGCACCATATAGCAAGACGGGGATGAGGAGTGATTTGTAGAATTTGGTCTTTGGTCGTCGAGAGAGGACTTCACTTCTAAATTACTAACTAATCCCGGAGTATTGATGATTAGCAAATAATGACCTCTAAAAGATGCAGATCTTTAGTCAGGAGCTTAGCATTGACACGATTCATAACCAAAATGTACTGAGTCGGTCCTTAAGAAATATTTAAACTCCCTAATAAATATCTGAGGTCAACACGACAAATGTTAAACACTATTTCTTTTACTTTATCAAGTTATCGATGACTTCACGACCTTCACTGAATGCTTTGTGCCACTAAAATACTTGTGTGTAAAAAGGGAGGCTCAGGAGCGCCAGGCCGCATATCCACGCTAGGCTCCATTTGCTCCCAAGTGGTAAACAATGAAGTCTTATCCGCGCTCAGTGGATTTCATTAAATATCTTTTTTATATCTTAGCTGTCTAATATCTTTTAAGTTGGAATATTGGCAGCCGTGGACGTTTTGATGTCACAACTGATAAAAACCTGAGCATTCGTAAAGGATATTTTCCAGCATCTCATCATCCTCCCTGCTTTCTGCTGACTCCAATTAAGCCAGTTTCTAAGGGTGGGACCTTAGACGTCCTTAGTTGTCCAAGAAGTAATAGCACGGCTAATAAAGAGTGTCGAAAGCGCCCTCAAATATATTATAATAAACTAATGATTTATAAAAAAAATTAAGGCAAAACAAAAATCAGAATCAACATTTTCTTAGTGGGTTGCCTATGAAACTAACAATTATAACATGATTATATAATATAATATTTAGCAAAACAAACCGACATTGACTGACATTGAAGAAGAAGATCAAAGCCAACATCGACAGCAACAACACACCACACCGTCAACGCCAAAACTGACGACAACATGACAACTCCGAAATAGGCTAATTTCATTTACGCAGATAGTCCGGACCAGTGCAGAAAACCATAGCTATCAGACATAAATCAACAAACATCGAAAAAATATGTTTTGCATTGTCTGACCGCGGACACACGCCCCGCAAAAGCTTGTGAATTTGTTTTAACACTGATGTAGTTGTTAGTTATTAATGCGCAGCGCTGACGAGTTAGATCGACAAACTATTTTACTGCTGCATTATATGCAAATTTCACAAAACTTAAAGTTTTTCCACAAAAACGCTGTGATTGAGCGCAACTTGGATTTACTCTATATTTGTCAGTTAGTTTGAACTAAAAAAAAAAAATGATGCGCTAGCTCTCGACTGCGACGTTGTACCCACGCGGTCGATTCTTCTTATTGGTACAAGCCGAGACAGCGAGTGAGAAGAATGTTTTAATTTATGGAAGCTATTAAATCGCGGAAAAAGACAACAAGCAACAGTGTTTGGTGCTTCAAAAATGGTAATGTGACGGACTAAACCGAGCTGGTCCATATAAAAAGCTTTGGAGGCCGGCTAAGAGCAGCACTTACACTTTTGACTTGGCGGATCAAGCAACATACGGATTAATTGTGAAGAGTGAATAACAGAAAATGAAGCTAATTGTAAGGAAAACCCACTTTTATAAAAACAAAATCATTTTGATAATAAAAATTTCTTAGATAGTAATAAAATTTCACCTTTTTCCCGCTTTTGCATTATTCAATTCTATTTCGTAGTGTTTTTTAATGATCGGCATTTGGGTTGCGGTCGCGCAGGCACGTAGTGACAAATATTTTGGTGGGAAATACCATGTGCCAACAAAAGCAGCAACAACACGCCAGCAAACAATAAAACCAACAACCAGCAAAGCAAATTTCCCTCAACGACAAACAACGGCCACTTACAAACATCCGAACAGCATTACGGCCGGCCGACGCAATGATGCTGGGCCAAAAGTGCCGATCTTGCGTAATGATCAAGAAATGAAAAAAGACGGCCGCTATCACTATCAATACGAAACGGGCAATGGCATTAGTGGCATGGAACAGGGCACTGCTGGTGTTGCGATCAAAGGCGCCTCCAGCTTTGTCTCACCCGAAGGTGTGGAAATCAAGCTGTCCTACACAGCGGATGAAACCGGCTATCATCCGGTGGGCGATCACATACCCAAGACACCCGACTATGTGCTGCGCGCACTCGAATATATACGTACACACCCCTTCAAGGTGATAAAGGCCGGCGAATTGCGCCCACGACTGTCCACTGAGATTGCGCCACCATTACTTACACCCCACAATTCGCGAAATTTCAACTACAAGTCGAGCAGCTTCAACAGCAAGAGCGTTGCGACGAAGCGTCCGAGTCAACAGAATGCCAGACGCAACGATGTGAGGCGCCGTTTTTGAAGAGTGTCTGTTTTACGTCTGCAGTAAAATGGATCGCGCTCTCTGTTCCGGCGTAGATAAGATGAAAATGTATTATAATTTATTTATAATGAATTTAACGAATTCCATGCACATTAATTGGCTGACGGACCGACACACCGACACACCGACGCACTCATTCATAGTTAATTACATTCGCACAAATACAACACTGTTATATATATATATATAAAATGCAAACTGGTTAAATAAAATAATTTAATGTCAATGGTTTTTCCAAATAATCGAAATTGAGGATTAGGCTTTTCAACAGCATGCAAATTCTAAACCGTCAAAGGGTCTACGTCACTGCCAGACTTGCCCTTCTCACAATTAGTGGATTAAACACAGTTGAGGCGCAAAAGCTTTAGGTATACCTGTTCTTAAAGCTTAAAGCTTAGCCTTCAATATTTCAGAGATCATAAAAATTTATAGGTTAGGTATGATGCCTGATCCAAAGATCGCACTTAGACAGCTAAAAGTAGTCCTTTGTGATTCTAAAAAGGTAAAACTCTTGTACTTCGAATTTATAAATCTGCAAAAGCACCTTGAGGCCAATAAAATTTTTTTTCGAGCGTTTAATTTCCATTCCCGCCAGTTCGGTGGGTCATCTGAAAGTATGACCTTCAAAGTGTTTCTTCCTTGATTTCGCAAATGCAGGACAATCAAGAAGGAAGTGCTGACCAGAATCCTACTCGCTTTTTTCCCATACAGCTTCAACAGCTGGCTTGCGACAACGCATGAAGGGATGTTAGCCCAGCTATCCAGTAGTAGAACACACGAAAAGAGGGGATCACCGACCGGTTCTCGTTCTACTGATAGCGGAGGGTCTTTAGCCCTTGCCAGCTTTATAGCTTGACTATGCATTTTTTTTGTAAGCTGAGAACTAAATATATTATATATAAAGATCGGTTGAAAAAATAATAATTTATAAAACATTAAACTTCTGGAGATGGAAATAGGGATAGGCTTAGAAGCTTTAAAAATTAATATGGAATCTTTGAAGCGACCTATGAAAAAGACGTGAAGTTCTTGCCGTCAAATTACGATAGACTGTTTATTATAGGTTTTTAAATCTTTTCAAAGAAAAAAATATCAAGTGAAGTCCTTACAATCAAATTCCAATAAGAAGCCCGATTTATATAGAGTTATACACCCTAAATGACATACATATGTATATTCAAGATTTTCGGCACAATCCTAAATAAAAAGAGAAAAAGAGGTTAGACAAAATTATCTGTATTCTTAGTTTTGAAACAATTAAGCAAAAACATAATTTATTTTCGTTGCCAATCCTTTAGAGACCGTTTTCCCAGTTTTGCCTGCAACCGTTTCACGTAACCGTTATCGCAAAACCTTTGCATTTGTCAGCGATAACTAAAAACATTAATTTTGTTTGCATAGACAACTTGTAGAAGATTGTTCACAAAAATGTCAGCGTTATCGCTAAAAGATTGAGATTTAGACTCTATAATCAAATACTTGAAAGTACTCTCTACTGGCACATGCCTCCACAATAGTATTAAACTATTTCCTATTTGTAATTATGTGTGTTTAAATTTTAAGTATTTTATTTATATATAGCACATATATAGTATAATATTAATTGGAAACCATATATATGATGAATGACATGCTCATTTAAGCGTTCATTGTATATTGGGTCGTTCACTAAGTTTTCGTTTGATGACAACAGCTGATTTTATTGAATTTTTTTCGCAGCCAACTTCACACTTAACCGTCTTACCGTTATATATTTGAACAGAGGGTGAGGCTTGCTAATAAAGAATGTCCTAAGCCTTTTAGGAATAGTTTTTGTTTGTTGCACTGTCAAAGACTGAAGACCGAAACAAGATTTTCAGAATATTTTACTATCAAAAGGGTAAAACTCCAGTTCAAGCAAGACCAAAACTATATGATGTGTATGGAGAAGATATGTTGGCCAAACGCTAATAGCGAAATGGGTTTGCAAAATTTCGTTCCGGCAATTTCGATCTTGAGGATGCACCACATCCTGGAAGAACTCTGAAAAAGCTGATTTATATGAAATAAAGTTGTTTCTCGATGCAAGTTGTCAAATAATAACACGAGAAATCCCTGATAGATTAAATTTGTCAAACGCGACCATTCATAAGCTTATGAAACGTCTAAGACTAATACTGAAACTTGACATATGGGTTCCTCATATTCGAACAGAACGAAATTTACTATGTCAGCTCAACGACTGTGATTTGCCTATCAAACGTCAAAGAAGTGATCAATTTTCGAAGCACATTTTAACTGGCGTCAAAAAGTTAGTTTTATAAGAACGTAAAGCTTAAGATCTCATAGTCTAAAAGGGATGAACCAACTCAAATCCCTTAAAGGCCGATAATCACCAAAAAAATGTTATGTTGTCTGTTTAATGGGATTTCAATGAGAATATTTATTATGAACTTTTGCCCGATAATATCACAATTAATTCTGAAGTGTATTGTGCTCAGCTGGAAAAATTGTGCGATGCACTTAAACAAAAGAGGCCAGAATTGATCAATAGAAAAGGTGCGGTATTCCAGCAGAATAAAGCGAGACCTCTTACAAGCTTGGTGATTCGCTAAAAGCCCACCATATCTCCAACCTTGGCACCTTTCGACTATTACTAGTTCCTTTGGACCAGTTGAACTAGTAATAGTCCAAAGTGAAAACCCTTTGGACCACTTTTTTGCCTAAAAGGAACAAAAATTTTATGAGCGTGGAATCAATGTCTTGACCGAAAGATGATAAAAGACATTGGATCAAAATGGAAAGTATCTCATTTCATAAAATGTTTTACACAAAGAAAGTCGTGTTTATAGTACAGATGATCAGGGCCCCGAATTTAATTAAAAATAGCTATCTATACAGCTGACTAAGCAACATATTTTTTTTGCGATTACTAAACCAATATATGTATGTAGGGGTTTCGAGAAGTTTTTCAAACCGATAACTCTCTTAAGCTGAACTTGTTTCTAAATCGAATAGTACCGAAATCAAATAGAGCGAATCTATAAAAGGGATCTTTTCAATCGCATCACATCGTTAAGAAATACACGTGTGGAGTAAGCTCTCTCTTAAGAAGCGCCGATCACTAGGGTTATATAGTCATGGCCACAAGTTAGAACTTCAGTTAAAAGCTCGTCGCCGGTTTGAACTGAAATCGCATATATCTCAGCACTAAAGGATTGCGGTTCAACCCTCAAACATTTCTATCAAAAGGGTGCTAAGCCAAGCACAAATTCCTAATGTGAATTACAAATGAAGAATGGTGAAACGTTCCTTTCGATTTCTCAAAAAATTTCTCAGCGATTTGAAGTCTGCTTCACAGCGGTACTGAAACACCTAGGAACAGGTCCAAATAAAAACCACTGCGTTGCCACGAATCCGAAGAACTCTCCACACATTGCTATAAATTACGAGCATTTTAAGAATTGCGACGGAAGAATAAGGTTTCTATACCATGAAAAGGAAACACGAACTAGTTTTTCAGTTTTTGAGATATCGTTCTGAAATTGTACAAACTACATTTTCTCGCCAAGAAGCTGGAACCGCCGATATCGAGTCTCTATAGCATATGGCTGTCATACAAACTGAACGATCGGAATCAAGTGCTTTTTTTTGTTTCATACACAAAAAGTTTGAGCGCGAAAATAAAAGAGGTTGAATCATAACGCAAGCACATTTTTAATACTTTCTTCACTCGTCGGCTCTTCAAGAAGCACCTTTTATTCCGCCATTAGAATTCTCTGCAGAAGTTCAATATCGTTATGCGCACTAACTTAGTAAAACAAATATGAAACCGGCAAAACCCCAACCAAAACGCGACCATACACACACAAACCAAACATTTGAGTACGAGCGCCAACAAAGCCAAAAAGAGCGACAGCGCCATGTGTTCATATTGAATTACCTTTATATACATTATACTATCTAAAGTCGCAGCGTTAAAAAACATACCTGGAAATCGTTTGCGTTCACATCACTTAGATTGGAGCACTTGGGCACTTGAGCAATGCCATGGCTGCCGGGCAATGCGTAGATTTTAACCACCTGCTCGCTCTGCGACAGCTTCCAGCAAATCGCGTGCTCGCGCCCACCGCTGCCCACCACCAGCAACTGCTTGCCGCCAACGAGCGCTGCTTTCGAAGACATCTTCCTGCGCGTTGCTATAGAAAAACTTTAACTCTCCGCTAAATGACGTTGATTTAACACTAGCGAGCCAAAATATTTGACGCTTCCGCTACGCGCACGTTAATTGAAATTGATTTTCACAAAGCGTCCAAAGCGAGACACAATGCGAAAGTGAAATGTCGTGAAATTTGCGCCTTTCCGCTTGACTTTTTCAATAAATCAATAATGTCACTACGCGCTGAGTAAAACTCTGGTACTACTGGTACGCACTAAGCACGTCGCGCAACATTTGTATGTTCATAAATATTTGGTAACCGCACTCTCGTCTGTCTATGTATGTATGTATTGTATTGTACTTGTATGTGGTAGATTGCGTGTATGCTTGCGGCGCTGCCTGGCAAAATGTGATCGTGCGTTGTGTAGTCTCGCTCGTCGAGAACCCACGTGTTTCTGTGATATGTACACGGTTTATGGTGGGTATCACGTTCTTGTTGTTACATATATCGCTTTTTATTAGAGACACCAAAACGTAACGTTTTTTCCGCTGGAAATGGAATGCAAGTTTCGAAAAGTTATACAACTTTAAACCTGATAGCTTCAGTATATTGTGGATCGTAGCGGTGTAATATAGAGTAGTTAGCCGCAAATATTTAGAATAAAGTTTTATATTATTATATACAGATATGTATGTTTAGCGTGTAGTACAAGTTAGAGCGCCACCGAGAACCAGAACCGATGCCAACGGTTGGCAAATGAACACTGAAACTTCTACGCTTCGTCGTCGTCGTCGTCGTCATCGTCGTCGTTAAGCCACCACATAAAAAGGGATGATGGAGAAGTGATAATGGATGACTGTAGCATGTTGATCGTTGTTAATAGGCGCACGACTGTCGAATCGACTGCCGTTAAGTTGACTTTGTATTTACTTTCACACAAAAATATCTTATTATTTGTAGACGTTCGTTTTAGTGTGCGCGTTTGTATGTAAACTTTCCACTTCATATGCCGCCGGCTGCCGTACTCTGTCCATTGATTGCTTGACGGTATTGTATGATACCCCTCCAAGGCCTCAGTCGTCGATCAAGCAACGCTCGCAGTTAGGCGCTATTTAGACGCCTAGCGCAATCAGCCTGTGTTGGTATTAAAATATATTCAATGCGAGCAATTGATAAGAACGCTTGACGGTAATCACTAAGCGCAAAATTATAATATTTACAAGGTTTCGGCATACACAAATGCCAAAAATTTCTCTAAGCAAATGGTTGTGTAGATATTACAAGCATCTATGTTAGATAATATATTGTGACAAAAAAGTAGCCGGCAATTGTAAATAAAACGGAAAATATTGGGTAGTCGAAAAAGTCCTTTCGTATTTTGTCAATGCAACTGTCGTTGCAGTCATATATTTCCAGAGTGTAATACACTTATGCTGACGCTTTTTCCAGTCCTCGAAACACTTTTTGGTAAGGTCTTATACTCTTTCCGCGAATTTTGTTTTATCTCTTCGATCGACTGAAAACGGTGCCATGGAGCGGATATTTTAATTTGGTGAACAAGAAAAAATCACATTTAACCAAATCTGCTGAATATGGTGGTTGATCAAGCGGGGGTCGATACGATCATCGTGTAGAATCCATAAATTGTTCCTCCACAATTCTGGGCGTTTTCGACGTATGTTCTCGTGAGACGCCTTAATACGGTGAAATAGAACTACATATTAACCGTCTGTCCCTCCGGAACACATTCATGATCCACCAAATCACGAATATCGGAAAAAACAATGAGCATCCCCTTGATTTTTGAGCAGCTTTGACGTGCTTTTTTGGTTTCGGCTCGCTTTTTTCCCTTCATTCCGATGATTGTTAACTTGTTTGCAAGTCAAACTCATAAACCAATGTCTTATCGGCAGATATAATGCTCTCTATGAATGTGGGATCCGAATTCTCACGATCAACTATTCCCCAAAATCAAATGCAGAGCATTGCGAAAAAGAAGAAACGACTAGCGCCTTCGGCCATGAACGTGTAAGCTGTATCTATGGTAGTAAAGAAGATATGCTTCACCATTTTAATATTTTCATCACTTGAAGAGGTCGAAGATCATCCAGAACGTGGCTTGACTGCAGCAATCTCTCAACCGTCTTTGAAGGCTTTGTAACACTAATAGGGTTGTGTTTTTAAAAAAACTGAATCACCATAAGCATTTTCCAACATTCGCAACGATTTCGCACACGAAATTTGATTATAAATACAAAATTTGAGAAAAATTCTTTCTTCCATATTTTTATACTTCCTAAAAATTGCAACGTACTACTGAAGTGTACCGGCTTAAACAGCTGCTGTGAATTACTATTTCCGGCTGCTTTTTCGCCACAATATACGTACATACAATGCATGTAGTTAAACAAATTATAATATTTATTAAAACAATTGCGTTCGATATTTGCGCCGCCAACAGCGATGGGGCTTCATGTTGATCAGTTGCCAGCTAACGCCGATCGCGAGCGTGTTGGAGCTATGTAGTTCAAGTGCGCCTACGCGTCTAGCATTGTCCAGTATGCGCGTCAACAAGCACTTCAGCAGTGTGTATGTGACCAGCAAGTGGTTGCTGCTGCGTTCGATGCCGCAACTTTGAGAAAAAGATATGTAAAAGCAGCCTGACAAGGTAAAAGTGAGCACGCGCCGATCTCTGAGGAAATTACTTCTAATAAAATAAACCAGCAAGATAGAGAAGAACTCAAAAAACGTGTTGGGTCCTTCGTTAGACATTAAATTGAACGAGCAGTGCTTCCAAACAACTGTCAAACCAACATATTGCTAGCATTTCTTTCTTAGCCGTAAAACTATACAGAATACTTGAATATATTATAATTTTAGCGATTTTGATTACAATTTGACTTTTCAAATTTGTTGCTAAGAATAAATATTACTTATGCGAGCGTACAAAAATATATTTGTCTATACAAAATCAGCAATGAGGTCTAAGTAGTACTCGAGAACGTGTTATTATTTTCAAATTAGTGAGCTTAACAAGCTTTGGTGGCAAATTGTTATTGTAATATTTGTAAGTACCGATGATGTGGATGGCTTAAGGCATTAAAAACACGATCGAGATTTTAATAACTTGCGACGTTATGGGCTTTTAGTTTCTGTATTCTCTGCTATTTTCTATTTTCATTTATTTCTGGCTTGATCGCTCGATTATGATCCATGTCTAAAGGACCTTATTAACAAAAGTATGGTCTAACAGCATCTAACGAAATATTTGAGCTTTTGGGCTTCAAAAGATTTTTAAGAAATATAGCAGGGATGACGTGATTTTGCTGACGCAGGGCTGCCATGTTTGTTTACAGAGTTGTGTCAAATTTTTTCAGTGTGACGTAAGGTTCGATCATGTCACTCTGGTACAATGCTTGGAAATTGCACACACTATAAATCACGTTTCACCGAAAAACTCGAAAATTCACGTTCATCCAAAAATCATCTGCTCAAATGAGGCTCATTTCTGGCTTAATGGCTTCGGCTACAAACATAATTGTCGATGTTGGGTATATACTATATATAGTAAAATCTTTATCAAATTCCTCACGAAACGCAATTACATCCCAAAAAATTTACCGTTTGGTACGGATTGTGGTATAGCGGCATTATAGGGTCTTATTTCTTTCGAAATGATTTAGAAAATACCGTTACTAATCGCTAAGTTTGGCGACTTCTTAATTTCATAAAATTTAACGCTACTAGATAATTTTCTCTGGGAGTAAATTAAATCAAAGGCTTACACTAATCACAGCACCTCTCGAGGAGCTCGAAGACAAAGCACTATAGGTGAAACTTCGTAAAAAATTATGCAGTGCCTTTCGATCGATGTTAAGAATTTCTTAGAGGTCCTCTTTACTCTATAAATCATCGTAGAAAGATATGCCCTGGGCTTCCTTTATCGTAAATTTTCTCGAAAAAATTCTATTATTTCCACTGTCATTTGCTAAAGATGAAAAGTTGAGAACAGTTTAGCATCTAGGTATGTCAAATACAAGGATATAACTCATTCAGAAAATAATCAGAAATATTCTGATGTTTCTAGCGTTTGCTAGATGATCTAATGCTTTAGTTTTTCATGGTTCTGACTTGATTTTAGTTCTAAGTTATAGCGTTTTGTTTTCTCTTTCTATAGCTGACCTAATCAAATTTTTACCCATTATCAGACGTGGCAAGTCTATGTCTAAGTATATAAATCTGGAGGTGTAACATCCCAACATACAAATTAGTGTTTCGGCCCAAAAAGATTCAACTGTCGATTGAGACCACAACTCAACTTCTGAGTAGAATTTCATCGAATAAAACCATGCTTGTTAGTTATATTTAACTATACCCTATTTATTTAACGAAATTTAAGGAAATTATCATTAAATCAGCACCGAATATCGTTCGAGACTAACATAATAGAGATCCAAGGAGAGGTACTTTAAATAGCCTTTTTTTTTGAGAGATCACGCGTGAGTCGTCATGTTATTTTGTTCAGTATTGTTTGGCATTTCGTCATGGAAGGACTTACGGCTGAACAACGTTTACAAATCGTTCGTCTTTATTACGAAAATTCTCGATCCGTAAAGAAAGTTTTTCACGCACTTCGCTCAACTGGTCAACATAATCGACCTACTGCGCGTACTATTTGGAACAACATCACTCATCTTGAGACCCAGCATTTATTATTGGATAATATTCGACCGAATAAACCACGTCCAGCATGCAGTGAAGACCGACTGACGTACTAGAGAATCGACTTGCCGCTTTTTACGTCGAGATCTTAAATAGAGCTTGTGCAAGAACTGAAGCCGCTTGACCTTCCCAACCGACATTACTTTACTCTATGGGTTGCAAGTTCAAGTTCCAAGAAGATGAAACGTTTTCGAGCCAAATTTTGTTCAGGGATGAGGTACATTTCTGGCACAATGGGTTTTGGAACAAACAAAATTATCGAATGTAGTACGAAGAGAAACCTGAAGATATTCAAACACTGCCATTTCCAACAACGGTGAGAACGTAATCATCAATGGCATCCGTTATCAATGGATTTATAGAGAGAACACTTCGGTGAGCCGATAATTTCACGTGTGATATCACACCGTTAGACTTCTTCCTGGGAGGATATGTAAAGTCTAAAGTCTATGCGAACAATCACGTTTTGATTCAGGCCTTGGAGCAAAACATCGTGTGTGTTATTCGTCAGTTACCAGTCGAAATGCTCGAACGAGTCATCGAAAATTGAACTCAACAGATGGAACATCTGAAACATCTGAAAATCTGAAGATATAATCTTCAAAAAATAAATGCCAAATAATGTACTTTCGAATGGTAATGTGCTTTTTCTTTAAACAAGTAGGGACCCTCTAAATGGATCACCCTTTAGTTGACAAGATGAAAGTATGTAGGGAATAGAGGCATATCTATTCAATTTTAAACCTCACAGATCAGTCGGAACATGGACCAGATCTTCATAATATGATCGACGACGGAGAGAAAAGACATTTTATTCGAGTTTTGGAATTTCAAATCGCTGTATTTATTTGCCAATAACCAAGAATTATGGCTGCACTCTTGGGAAGCTGCAATAAGACAAGGTTTTAAGAACTTGTTTTTGCCGCTTTTTTACAAGTAGTGTACTAATTAGTGTCAGGTCATGCTAAGATTTGGATGGTTTCAACGTTATCAAAGCAAACCGCAACCTGTATATATGTACACAATTATAATACTCATTATGCCACAATATTTTTGAAA